GTAAAAGAATATAAGCAGCCACTAAACTTATCAGTCAGTATTTTAATTTTGTTTTTCATAAATTAATTGAATAGGTTTTTTGTTTGGATTGATAGTTATATTTATAACTCAATAAATGGTGATTTTACATAAAGGTTGTCCATTTTGTTTTATTTTTTTATATTGTTTGTGATAGAAATTTCAGTTCTTTAATTTTTCAAAAATGTGGCATTTTTGTAACCCTGAAACATATAATCGATCTTTACTTGGTTTTCCAAACCAAACATTAATTGGCGCCATTCCAATTGGCGCCGTTTTTTTTTTAAAAATGGAACACGACGCAATATGAGGTATGAGTGTATATACTCATATATATATATATATATTATATATAAAAATCAGAATATGAAATATATTGTAAGGCTAAAGAAAAAACTTCATAAAATCCAGATTTGCAATAAGAATTCCCATAGAATTCCTTCGGCATTTGCGAATAATTTAATAAAATTGAGTTGTAAAACAATTACAACGATATATTGCAGATTTTTAGAAATTTTGTAAGCATCTTTGGATATTATAAATAAATCCAATAGATAGAAGAAATTATAAGCTGAACAGTGGTTTCCAACCATGATGCACCTGCATCCCTTTTTTAAAAATAATTGTTGCGCCCTAACTATAATTTCATAAATACGAACTGTGGAATTAGCTACAAAATTATATATATATATATATATATATATAGAAACATTTATTATAAGAATAATAATTTTAAAAGTAATGAAAACAAATCTTACAACAATTCTTGAAAAAGTACAAAACAGTGATGTTGGGTTGAGGAGTTTGATTTAATTTTTACAATCACCACTTATCTACCAAGGAAGGGATCTAAAAATCTTTAAAAACCAATCATGTGATGCATGGACATGTCTTGTGATGAATACCTTGTACAAAATTTTAAAAAGTTTGTACAAATTTATATAAAAATATACATAAAAATATCAGAGTTAATAATTCTAAAAGTGATGAAAACACATCTTACAAAAACCCAGAACATACTCTTCTATAGAGTTAATAATTTTAAAAGTGAGGAAAACAAATTTTGCAGAAACCCAAAATATACTTTAAACGTGAAAATGTTTTTTGTTGTATCGTGTAATACGTACACCTACTTCGGCTATTTTCTCAATTTATTTTCGACTTTTTAGGGAACAGTTGCAAGTGCCACGTTAGGCAAACGCGCCCCACAGGTTGAAAACCACTGAACAAATACAAAAAAAAAAATCAGGAACAACAAATCAGTGTTGTTTTCACAACAAAAACAAAAATTCCAAGAATATGAATAAAAACCACCAATAAATTGGTTTCATGAGTCTATTATCCTCTACCTGGTAATCCTCTCCTCTTCGGCACAATAAGAACCCTCGGTCCATCAGGTTCAGGACTGGAAGGATCATCAGGACTTCCAGGTCTCCTGCCATTAGTCCTGTCCTCATCCTTGCCACCATTTTCATCATGCTTATTATTAGAACCAGCTTCCGAAGTCCTGGAACCTTCACCATTGGAAGTACTCGCCAAAGGCTCCTCTAGCTCCAAAGGCTCACTTTCCTGAGCCGGCAAAATCGAAGGTGGAGGTTCTTCCAGTGACGTAGGTCCACCTGATCTGTGAGAACCTCCTGAAGAACCTCCTCGTCTTGGGGATCTACCACGATCTGGTAAAACTGCTGAGGCGCTCCAGTAACCCCAAGCCATGGTAAAGGATTGGTAAACGACTTTTGGGGTTGTTTAATTTTGGGATTGCAGCATTGTTATGAATGAATTATATATCACAGGCTGTATAGAAATTTGTTTTGTATATATTAACAACTATATTATAATTTTGTAAAGTTTCAACGCGTCTCTAGAAGTTTTTAGAATAACTCTTCAGTCTGTCCAGAAATTCAAAGCGTGGGTAAATATATAGTGGCTATAAATTTTCAAATTATATTCCTTCATTCTTCATGTCTTCAATGATATCAATAAATATTCATATATCAGTTTACTCTATTATTTTAATATATTTATATACTTCTAATTTTTAATAGATATTTTAACGTTTATCCAACTTCTTGCCATAAACTTGCCAATTTTGTTGGTTTTTTCATCCACATCAAATAATTAATAATAATTTGATTTTACTAATATCTTCTATGTATATCTTTGTAAGTATATATTTTTCCTAAATGATTTTCTTCTAATTTTATATATTTTTGGATATTTCTTGATCACAATTATTCTCTCTTGTTATCACTTAATGCAGTTTATAGTAAAAAATTTACTAAAATTTTCAAAACACGTGTCAAAGTTCACAGAAACCACTTGAACTGTTTTTTTAATATGTTTTGTTAAAATATGTGCGTAATTCTGGGAATAGGTTAATAGAACATACAAGTCAATAAACTAAGAGCCTAATAATTTTAATTTTTTTGGTA